CCCCCCCCCCACAAAACAACAGAGGGAATAGAAGCAAATATTGTTGAATGATGATGCACAGAGGAGATTGTAAGCATTGCAATCAACGATGGTGTAAAACCGATGTTCTTCCATGTAAACTACCACTCATTTTACAATAAAAACTGTAAAAAAAAGAACAAACAGATTTGTGGTGGAAGAAGTGCAGCCAGAGTGCTCCTTGGAGGCCAGGATGGCCAATTTGTATCTCTCATACTTCAGATATATTGTCAGAAGGGAGCAGTCACTGAAGAAGGAGATCATGTTTGGTAAAGTGGAGGGTCAGGGAAAAAGAAGACAACCCCCAACAAAATGGATTGCCAGAGTGGCAGCATCAATGGGCTCAAGCATGGCAACAATTGTGAGGTTGGCCCAGGACCGGGCAGTGTGTAGTTTTGTTGTACATAGTTTCACTATGAGTTGGTACCGACTCGATGGCACCTTACAACAACAACAACATGCTCACAATAAAAGATCCTCAAATATATATATATGTCAAACTCGAACAGAATGGAAGAAAGAAATAGACAACTCTAAAATAATAGCTGTTGTTGGTGGTGGTAAGGGCTGTGGAGTTGGTTCTAATCAATGATAGACAGCAGCCAACAACAGCCAAACGCACCCTAAACAGCAGTGCACACACAGTGAAGGGATTAACAGTTTACACACTTATATTCGATAAATACACTCTCAGGAGACAGCTGGCAAGAGAATAGGCACATATCAACATACAATCATCAATTGAATACAAATATGACACCAGCACAATGACTCAGAGACACAACAGAAAATTTTAACTCACATAAGGAAACATGAGAGAGTGATTTAAACAAATGGAAAAAAAAAAAAGAATGATATTTAAGTACTCTCTTAGTGTTAACCAAAAATATTGATGAAAGCAAGGAAGACACAGAGAAAATTTAAAAGAATTCAGGAAAACACTACAAGAACAAACAGATAAAAAAAATTCAAGTTTGGAAATAATACAAAACCTGCAATAATAAATCCAGAATATTTATATTAAGGTTTCAGACTTGGACAATACATTGAAAGGACAAAGGATCTGATTTGAAGCAATGGAAGCCAGAATTAGTGAAATGGAAAATAAATCTTTCAAATAGTATGTTAGAAAAACATTCAGGAAAAATACA